CTCCGGTAGGGCGGGATGCCGTGGACCGGGATGCCGGGGACCGGGAATGCCGAGCCGCTCCGGTAGGGCGGGATGCCGTGGACCGGGATGCCGGGGACCGGGAACGCCGAGCCGCTCCGGTAGGGCGGGATGCCGGGGACCGGGATGCCGGGGACCGGGAATGGCGAGCCGCTCCGGCCGGGCGGGATGCCGGGGACTGGGATGCCGAGCCACTCCAATCTCCCAGCCCTGGAGCGGTCCCTTTCCCCCAGCCGTAGCCAGACGGTGCCCGTGGGCTCCGCGGTAGGAGCCAGGGATGCTCCGGGCGCTGCCCTGTGCTGGGGATTAGGCAGCCGTGCAGGGCCGGAGGGATTTGCTCCTCGCTGCCATCTCAAGGCCCGTTACATAACGGGGGGCGGTTGGGGGGGGTGGACACGACACCCCCAAAGCAGGCAGAGGGTCCGGCCGGAGCCCACCATGCCTCCACCCCTGCAGGCCAGAAGGACAACCGGCCCCCGGACAGGTTCCAGCTCACCTTCCCGCTGCGCACCAACTACATGTACGCCAAGGTGAAGAAGAGCCTGCCCGAGATGTACGCCTTCAGCGTCTGCATGTGGATGAAGTCCAACGCCTCCCCCGGCATGGGCACCCCCTTTTCCTACGCTGTGCCCGGGCAGGCTAACGAGCTGGTGCTCATTGAGTGGGGCAACAACCCCATGGAGATCCTCATCAATGACAAGGTACGGCCCTGGGGAGCAGGGAAGGGTGCTGGGCAGGCTGGGGGGGTGGGCAGCATGGGGGACCCCCATGCCCACCACCCTGACCCACCACCCGCAGGTGGCCAAACTGCCCTTTGTCATCAATGACGGCAAGTGGCACCACATCTGCGTCACCTGGACCACACGGGACGGCGTGTGGGAAGCCTACCAGGACGGCACGCAGACCGGCAGCGGCGAGAACCTGGCACCCTACCATCCCATCAAGCCCCAGGGGGTCCTGGTCCTGGGGCAGGAGCAGGTAAGGGCTGGGGGGGAGGTGTGCGTAGGTGTGGGGGTCTCTGCTCGGCTGGTTGCGCCCGAGGGGATGGACGGCGCCGGGTGTTCCCGGGGTGGGACGGGACAGCCCGGCCGTGTGCCCCCCCGTGACGGTGGCTCCTCCGCAGGACACGCTGGGCGGCGGGTTCGATGCCACACAGGCCTTCGTGGGGGAGCTGGCCCACTTCAACGTGTGGGACAGAAAGCTGAGCCCCGGGGAGGTGTACAGCCTGGCCACCTGCAGCACCAAGGCGCTCGCGGGCAACGTCATCGCGTGGGCTGAGGCCAACATCGACATCTACGGCGGGGCCACCAAGTGGACTTTCGAGGCCTGTCGCCAGCTCAACTAGGGCCACGGACAAGCGAGAGAAACCTCATCGGGTTCTTTTTTTTTTTTTTTTTTCTTTTTTTTCTCCTTTTTTTTTTTTTTTTTTTTGCGCAAAACCAACCCAGAACGAAGCCACCCGTCTCATCCCGAGGAGCGGGGATGCCCCCGGCAGCGGGGCCACCCACCCCCGGAGCCCCACGACCCTCTGGTTTCTGTCTTGCCAACGTCCTTCAACGCCTGCGTGCCTTGGCCTGGCGCGGCTGCGCCCCCTCCCGCCGTCCCTGCCCCCCCTAAACCCCCCCCCCCACCGGGCCCGGCCACCCGCTTCGCCGCCGCTGCCTCCCCCCCGCCGGGACAGCCCCGCTTTCCCCGGGCACCGGCGCCTTAAAAGGCTGCGGGGCCCGGACTGGAGCCCCCCCCCTTAGGGCTCTTCTCCCTCCAGCCTGAAACACCCCCCCCCGGGGGGGGTGGTACCCCCGGAGCTGGGGAAGGATTGCAACATCCCCCCCTCAGTTGCACTCCCGCCTGGGATGCGGTAGCAGCCGGGACTCCAAGGAGGGGGTACCCCCCCCCCCAGGTAAGGGACCCCCCCACACACCTTCCCAGGCGAGCCCCGTTGCCCCCTTCCCCGGCCGGCGCTGCTCCCGAGCACCACAGCCATAGTCCTGGGCTGCGGTGGGCACCGGGGCGGGACCCCCCCGGATGGGACAACGCCCCCCCCCCCGGCCCCGCCCCCCGCCCTGCCGCACTCAGGTACGTCCCCCCGGCCCCACCGCCTGCAGCCCCCCAAGGCCTCCTACGCGCCGTAGCTGGTGAAAAATAGCCTTTACCGTCCCCTGGAAGTTTAGCTACCACTGAAAAGTCTGAAGCCTTTCTGCTTTTGATAATACACTATATTGTTTCTCTTACTGTAAAGGGAAGTTTATTACCAATTAAAAAAAAGGGTATTTTTATGAAGATAAAAAAAATATAGAATTAAGCAGTGCTCCCTGAGAAAAAAGTACTTTGAGATTCTGCAGGAAAAAAGAGATAAAGAAACGTATTTTGAAATAATAGATGCATTTTGTATGGTTTGCTTTTCTAAACTCCTGGTTTGTACTACAGATTGCAGAAATCACCCCCCAGCCCCCCCCACTGACCCCCCGAGGGCTGCCCTGGGTGGCAGTGGAGGATGAGGCCGAGAATTCCTACAGGGCTCCAGAGCCTCCCTGACCGACTCCAAAGATGTGGCAAAGAGACGTGCAGCGTGGAGGGGCCCCTACGGAGCCGGGCAAGGCCACGGCCGCCCCCGGCCGGGAGCACAGAGCTGGCCCAGCCACCGTCGCTTCGGGGAACCAGCGTCCAGCCGAAGAGCAGCACACGCAGCGACACACAACCCCCGAGATCGAAATACCTTCGTACGAACTGTGGCTCAGGGCAGCATATTTTAAACTGTGCTCTTTTTAAAAAAACAAACAAAAAAACCCAACAAAAAACCACTGAACAAAATCCAAAACCATCGTGAGTTAATTTAAGTTCCTCCTAAGAATCTGTTCACATCAGCAAAGCGACAAGCACAACCTGCTGAGGAGAACAAGACCACTGAAAAGGTTTCACCTACAGTCCCAGGTGCGTCGGATTTGCCAAAAAATTAAAAGGGTGTGATGTCAACACAATGTATATAGTGTATAGTAGGGGAGAGAATAAACGTATCTTAATTTGTCATTATTTTGCTAACCAAAGCTGTACATTTTTCCTATTACTTGCTCTCTTTGTCTCCTTTGGGTTTTGAATGGGTTACAATATACTACGCATCCAGTCCGCATCAGCCGTTCTGAAAATGCACTGTTTCTACTGATACTCATGCTTTTTCCATCTTATTGCCGAGATTACATGAATTGTTGACTTTATTTTTACACAATAAAGAGTGAAGAAAGACAGCGGGTTCTCTTAAATGTGTCAGTTCCCTGAGCAGCCAGTGCTTGGGAGCCGATCTCTTTACAGAGGAAAGTTTTGCCTGTGTAAAGCAGGAATTGCTGCCTGGTTCCCCTCGGAGCCTGCATGGGCACCCCCTGAGCCTCGGCCGTACCTGCCAGGCTCTCTCCTTCTCCTGTAGCATTAGACCGCACCTTTCCCTGGTTTATGCAACACCATCATACAAAAATTGATTTTTTTTTTTTTTTTGTTTTCCCCCTCCCCCCAAGATGCAGGCTGGAAGCTCAGCTCCCCCCAGCTGTCTCTGCCAGGCTGGCCATGGTGGGGACAATGACACCCCGCAGCCCACACTGCCCGTCAGCTCTGCAGCAAACACTCCCGGTGCGGGCAGGACCGTGCGGCTCCCGCTCCCTCCCTGCAGGCAGGGGCTGCGCTTGGGGAACTTTGCTTGTCCTTTGGGGGAGCCAGGCTGGGCTCCAAAAGCAGTTCCTGGAAGGCATCGCTCCAAAGGGCAAATCTGAGCGCAGGGGTGACACCGGGGCACTTGGCTCAGAGGGCGGCGTGGCTAGAGGCCATCCGTGTGCCACTGGCACAAGGACTTGGCAGCGCAGGGCTGCGCCTCACGGAGTGGTTTACGCTGCTCCTAAGTCACGGCTACCAACTCCCTCTTGTTACGCATCTGCTGCAGAACAGGCTTGCCAGATAGATTGCTTTTAGCATCAAAGATACAAGCAGTAAAACCATTATTTACTCCTTATAACCAGCCAGAAACAACTCCCCCCCCGCACACACCTGTAACCCACCCCATCCCATTGCAACCGGGAACGGGAGCTGTACGGGTCCAGTTCAGTACTGCTGCCTCGGGCACCATGCAGCACTTGGTGGCACCGGCACTCCCCTTCCTTCCTCCGTAAGAGCAAGGACACGGTGACGCAGCCCCGTGGGAGGCAGCCGGCACAACTCAGCAGAGCCCTCGCTGCTGCCACGCTTGTGGCCGGGGGGGTCTCGGCTCCTGGGGGCTGGCAAGGGCCACGGCAAGGGTCCCGCGGCCGCTTATGCTGCATCTTCCCAAGCAACCTCTACAGCCAACAGCAGCCTCTGCTAACCGCATCCCGGAGCGGCCACCTCCCGCATCCCCAGCTGCTGGAGAACAGCCACTCCGGGGCCCCTCTCCTTCACCCAGCGCCTGCCACCCTCATAAAGCCTCTTTTCCTTAGGAGGGTTCACTCCTGTGACTGCTCCAGGTCCTTTTCAGGATGCCTCGAGTTGTAATACATCATAATACGGCCAACAGCGCGAGGGAGAGAGGGAGGATGCTTCAAGCCAAACTGCAGGTCTGAGGTCTGGGGACCCAGTGTGTTTTCCCGTGCTGCCAGCCACAGAGGCAGAATTCCAAGCGCTGGGTACCCTGGGCAGAGGACAGTCAGGATCAGGAATCCTCTGCGGGCAAGTGGTAGAATGATACATCAAAACTGGTTTAGGGCAATTTACTGAGTCCCGCAGGAGACAGGCTGAGTGTAACATGCCACTCATCAGTCACTCTTGCAGGTGATTAGAGAGAAGGCACAGATGGGCTGCCAAGGGAGCCTCAGCCAAGGCTCGTAGGTGGGCAGGATGGGGAGCAACGCAGGCACAGGAATTAAAGCAGGGGCGCGGTGCCAGAGGACACAGAAGGGGTGTTGAAGAGAACCGTGCAGCCGAGAGTTTCCCCCTCCCCGATTCCCCAGATCCCCCCCGCCAGGTCTAGAAGTGCTTTAGATCAGCATCTTGACAGCCTTACAAAGGCACCAAGATTGCAGAGCTCCAGCCAGAAAACCCCCGCCACACACACCCCCCTTCCCCAGGCAGCTCTCCTCCCCAGCCCTCGAGCAGAGCTCAGCCCTCCCCAGCGATGCAGATACCATCCCCTTCCCCCCCGCCCCTGAAAACCAGCTGCTCCAAGGACAGGCTGTGTGGTTTCGTGTCACTGGGAACAGCCTACATCTTTGCAAGGGGAATGCTATTTTTACCCAGGGAATGGGGTGGCAGCTCCTGCATTGTTCCCAGCCACCGCCAGCCCACCCCAGTCCTGTCCCAGCTCCGAGCAGGGCCCTGCCCGCCGGGACAGCCGTCTTCTCAGCTACGCTCGGCCATCCCAGGTGCCAAGATAAAACTACAGTGCCCACCCCCTACCGCAGGAGAGGGAAACGATACCCCCAGCTGGAGGCTTGTGCTGCACTACGATTTAAACTGCAATAAAAAAATTACACTAACAGGCTGCTTTTTTTTTTTTTTCTGCTGGTAGCTGGAAAACATCACCGTGATTAAAGCGGGGCTGTCTCGCTCCCCGAGGCGGGCGGCAGCAGCACGGCAGGGGCAGAGCGGGTGGGAGGCTGCTGGCGAGAGCAAGGTGGGATGTGGGTGACGGTTGAGGGGGCTGGAGCTGGAGGAGCCGAGACTTCTGCATCAAGAGAGGGGGTAACAAACCTCCCGAGCTCCCCGAGGCTGCGAGGGGACCCTTGGTCTGCCTCTCAGCCCCACAGAAATCTCTGGGTATTGAACCCCCTGTGCCTGCCCTCACGCGTACAGCCATTTCAGGCAGCGCGAAGAGGTGCAGAGCAGCCCCAGGACCATCCCTGCCCGTCCCTCCCGGGACAGCTCGGCACACAGCAGCAGCTCCGGGCGTGCGACCTGCGCGTCCCAGCGCTGCTGCCACTGCAGCAACGCCGGCTCCCGTGGCGGGCAGGGAGGGAGGGAGGATCCTGCGAGAGGAGATGAGCAGCACAGGCCCATCAATAAGACTCACCAATCCTGACACCTCACCCTGCAACCAGAAACTGCTGCTCGGGGCTGAAAGCTGTTTACCGGCACCAGCTCTGCCTCGCTGATGCTGGTGACAGCCAGCCTAGCATCCCCTGCAAGCACAGGGATGAGGGAGAGCGTTACACGCACCAGCGCCGAGCGCGCTAAATCCAGGAGGCTTTTAGAGCAGCGGAGCAGATGGAGATCTTGGGCTGCGTGAGGACAGGCCCCACAACTCGGGAGATGGCTCAGAAATATTGACGGGGGCGAGGGAGAGTTCTTAAGGGCAGGATACAGCTGGGATTTACAGCTCTGATCCGACTTCTC